CCTCCCTCACGTCACTGAGTACAGGCAAAGAAATTGTGATCACTTGTTTTAAAGCAAGTTATTCCTTCCAGGCTTGAGAGGGCCTGTCTCAACTTGCATCCCTGTCCCTGCAACTCTATGCATTCTGTCACCATATTGAATCAGTTCTATTGTGTAATGTCTTTTTTTCACTTTCTTGACTTCTGGTCTTCACAGAGTAATTCAGATTTGAAAGAACTTGTGGGGAGCTCTGGTCCACCCCACTTGAATGCTTGGATGCTTAATATAGAATGTATGCGAACAAAACTTGCCTGAGAAAAAACAGTTATGTTGGTTAAATTGAGAGGAATAATGGATTACTGCTCATGAAGAGAGCTGCTCATCTTGGTGTTTCTGGAGCATTGACATTCTGTTATGAAGAGTAGTTGGCATTGACTGTAGTAGTTAACCTTATTTTATCTATTTCATGACCTCTTGAGAGTTAGCGTAAAGGTTTATTTTTAAGACCATCATAAGCGGATGATGTTATGATCTAGTCTTGCTTGCATAAGACAGGTGTAGAAAATGAATATAATCCCAAGCAGCAGTACAGGCTGGGGTCTGACTAGCAGAAGTGTAACCCTTCTGAAAGGAGCCCAGGGTCCTGGAGGACAGCAAGCTGAACATAAGTCAGCATTGTGCCCTTGCAGCTGCGACGGCAAACTGTCCTGGGCCACACCAGGAAGCCTACAGCTGGAGCTCATCAAGGAATGTGATTATTCTACTCGGCACTTGTTAGGCCACACCTGGAACGCTGTTTCCAGTTTCGGTATTCCCCGTTGAATTCATATTTGAATTCAATTCCAACTGAAAAATTGTAGGAGGTCTAGTGGAGGGCTGTGAAGAATGATAAAGATGTTGGAGAGCTTGACTTGTGAAGAAAGACTGGAGAAGCTGGTTCTTTTCATCCTAGAGAAGAGAATGCTTTGGGGATCTGATCGATCTTATCTAAAAGGTAGTTATAGAGAATATGGAGGTACTCCTTTTGCAAGGGTGCATGGTAACAGGGCAAGAGGCAATGGACACAAGTTGCTTCATGGGAAATTCTGTCTGGATATAATAAAAAAAATTCTTACTCTACATTCAAGCAGTGGAATAGGCTGCCCAAAGAAGTGATGTAATCTACCCTGAGAAGTTAAGCTTTGCCTTGACCCAGCTCAGGGTAACTTAACATGGTTTCAACAGCAAGTTTTACCAAATGATCTCTAGGTCTTCCTTATAGCCTGGGTTCTTCTATAATTCCATTAATATTTTTTACTGAATGCGGATCTGCAGTTATGAATAGTGTTATGTTTTAGATTTAAGGCTCCGCATATGGTAAATTTTCTGTCTGTTCAACTTTAGTTTTAAAGAAGATGGCAAAATTATTCTAGTAATAGTTTTTTACTGTTACTGTTCACTCAGCTTCCAGTCCCTGTTTTTTTGGGGGAGAGGGGCTTTTTCCGTTTTTGGTTTGGTTTGGTTTGGTTTTTTTGCTAGAATGAGAAGCTCTGTGCTACCAGAAATCTATCACACCCCTGCCCCCTCCAATAGATGTCTTGTGAATAACAATCCAGGTGTTTAAATTCTGTTGAATATGAAATATATTTAGTGTCTTCAGTATCTTGCTATAGACAAGGCTTTTTTTTTTTTCTTTTCTTTTTTTTTAAGAACACAGGATTGTGTTGTTAATCTCTTCTGAATTTTAAACATCTCTTGAGGAGCATGGATGCCACAGCCAGAGAGGTTGACTACTAATGGTTTTATTAACATCATACGTACAGGGAAACACTTTCTCCTCTGTGTCTCAGTGTTTACTTAATGTTCCTATATTTGTCACCTTACTTGTGCCAGAGTTGAATTCACTTTCTTAGTAATGGAATGAGGAAAATGGGGAAATAGAGTTGAGGTATTAATGAAGTTAAGAAAAATATGAAACATTTTTACCATTAAAGTATCAGCGTTTAGATCACTTAAGTTTTCTGTTCCATGATTGCTTGCTGTAAGATTTTTTTAGATAGCCTGTAGCAGGTTATTTTAAGTTTTACTATTATAAAACAGGGGCATAGCTGTTTCTGTTCTTATTGGATACATGCCTGTCTCTGAGCTGATTTGTTTACTGTTGCATGTTTTTCTGATGGCAAGATGTCCATGACTAAAATCTGAATGAGAGCAGATATGCATTAATATGTATGCCGTTGCAAGACTAAGCTTACCTCTGGATTTACATCTTCTAGGGGGCCAAAGGTAAAGCCAGCCTGCCTAACTTCTTAGACCATATCATTGCTTCTGTGGTGGAAAATAAGAAGACGTCTGATGCTGCAAAACGAGCTAGTAATTTAGCTGACACGCAGAAAGAGGTGAAGGAAATGGTAATGGGCTTAAATGTGCTGGATCCACATACTTCTCACTCTTGGCTGTGTGATGGTAGACTCCTTTGCCTTCATGATCCTAGCAACAAAAACAACTGGAAGATCTTCAGGGAGTGCTGGAAACAAGGCCAGGTGGGTAATGACAAAAAAACAACCCTTACTGCTTATAAGTATCCTGAAATTTTAACCTGCACCTTGGTTATTGACAAGTCCATTCAAACTTTGGGCAATTGCTCCCGAATGAATATGAAGAATTAAGATTTCAACTGTAGCGCTATAAACAGGGGATGCAGTGGCCCTGTCCACTCCATGCTGAACTGACTCAAGTCCATGTGCCCTTGCACACTGAGCTTTTCTCAGCTTACCAGTATGAGAGTGTTTGCTGTGACAGTGTTTTTAGTTGTGGTGTGGTTTGTGCTGAACCTGCTCTCCTAGAGTCCAGTAGTGAAGCCACTATGATTTTCTGCATGCATCCTAGCATCTACCCCATACTTGATGCTTTGCAGCCTCTGGGAAAGGTCCATTCCTTCCAACTGCAGCGTGTACAAGAATAAAAGTGCTGCATGCAATAATTTCTGCTGAAACTTGTGGATCTACTTGATGCAGTGTCTCATCCTAAGCCTACAGCCTGTATGAACCCAAGTATTGTTTTGAACTCAGCACCTCATGTATTGAGCACCCTCCTGGATTGTCTGAGGAGTCATCAAACGGTTGGGCCTTCAGTCAAGAGGCTAGACCTTAGACTTACTGGCAGCATAGCCACTTTTTCAGATCTCAATCCATAGTGCTACAGCTTAGACTTCTCCAGAGAGTCATAAAGATTGGCCTGGTCAGACAAGCTGAATCTTAAAAAATGGGTGAGTAGCTGCTGCTGCAGAGGAAGTGCACCCATAGCTCTAACAGAATGTGGTGTTCATTAGGGTTCAAACTGTGTTCTTGGCACTTGGTTCTGCAGCTACTTCTGACACTATTACCTTCACTGACTACTCAGAATTGAGGCCATTGGTGCTAGACAGTTATGTTCCTCCTCATCTTTTCTGGACAAGTCCTTGTTGTCAGCTGATCTATTGTTATTGTGCTAATGCTCTTGGTGCTCACATTCCATACTTATTTGTGGTTGCTCACAAGACACTGGGACTGCTGAGCTGTGGCAGAGGAACAAATGAGGCTGCATGTTCCTCTTTTGGCATTCAGGGTTAATTCCTGCCAGAAGCAGAGTACTTTTTAATTTAGTGTGTCCTGTGGCACTGCACATTCTCTGGATCCCTGGGCACAAGATAACTAGCATGTAGCTGTGAGAACTGCAGAGAGGATTGTGGCACCACCAACCACAGAGTTACCAGTTCCTGTTTCTGATTCCCTTAGCCAGATACTAATAGGTGGAAGAGGCTACTGTGCAGCACAACCTCGCTTGTCTGACTAGAAACTTAGCTTGCTGCTGGTATTGCCAGCTTTTGCTCTAATTGGAGTTATCTTCTTGTCCTGATTTTTTTTGAGTGCACAGAGGTATCTTCTGGGTTTTTTTGAACCTCTTGCATCCTTCCGATTTATTGAAGAATTTCAGATCATTCTTTTGCAGTGCTGTGGTGTCAGCCATCTGCCTGACTTGGCAAAGAGCTCCTTAGTTTCTGGTCAGTATACTCTGATACTTCTCTCAACTCTCTCTGTCAGCAAATAATATGGTCTGAGGAAGATCCTAAATATTTTGGGAGCTACTTAAAAAATATATGCTTGTCAGTTTCTCTGGAAATGAGACTGGTTAATCACCAGGTGCAAGATGCTGCACTTGGCCATGAGGTTTCTTGACTGTTAATGAATCCTGAGAAGCTCCTTGTAGAGTCTAGAAGTGTGATAACTGACCTTCTGTCAGATGTGTAGTTTGTAGTGTACATTGCCTTCCAAGTTGGTGCACATTCTGAGGCTCTGACCACAACTGTGATGCTTGTACTATTTGTGATCCTCTATTTAGGCTTTGCCCTAAGATGTGCTACTGATGCTGTTGAATGACTTTATCACTCAGAGGATCCCTTGTATAGCAACAGACTAGGCAAGTCCCTTGCTCATTCACGGATTCTCCAGTGGTGTTGCACTCACTTGAGTTTCCTGCTAAAATGTGGAAAGCAATCTAACAAAACCTCTCTCATTCCTGCACAAGAAAGAGCAGGTGACCCAGGCAGGCATCACTGCCTTGACAAAGCTATTCTAAACAGAATTTCTTCAAGCAGAGATTCTCTCAACAAACTCTACTCTGTCACAGTTCTCCCTTGACTGACATCCTTCTGTACATCCCAGCTGCACCTCTAAACGTGAAGTCAAAGAACATTAATTCTGTCACCATCCCCAAAATCATCTTCCCCTTCTAATTTTTTGGACTGGAAAAGGTTAGCTGGAAAAAACCTCTTAGCTACCCTCCCCAGCACAATAACTGCACGCTAGACACTAGTTCTGAGCCATATGAAGATCTCGACCATGGTAGCATTCCAAATTGTTAGAAGATAAAATTATTTTCCCTTTAACAAATGGATAATGAATGGCACTCTTTCAGTGGCATGCAGAAAGAGCAATGCTTTTCAGCTCCTTTGTTTTAGAAATTGTCAGAAATATCTTAAACTCTGTCTTATCCCAGAATTTACTGGGAGACCACAGGATTATTTCTTTCTAGAGCTGTTCTTCAAGAGCATTTTGCTCTCCTGAACCCGGTTGTTGCTCATCTGGGCATATTCTCAGGATTCTTATCCTATAACAACCTGTTCTTTTCTGAGTTTTCATACTAGGGTTTCTCTTTTTTTTATGACTGAGGGTGATATTGGAGGTTTTTATTTGTTTTCTCCCTGTAGTCTGAGAGCAGATCTGGCAGGAAGTGTCTACCAATCGAGTCCACTATCCTTTTATCTTGCAACACTAGCTGTGTTCTTCACTAGAGAGAGCATTTTCTTTATTCCGTGAGAAATTATCTGTTTAATAGCTGGAAGGGCTCTACTGGGTTCTTTTTAACTTTCATGTTCAAGTGGTCAGGTAAATATGGCAGGGATCAAAAGCTGTAATTATTTTCCTGGACTGAAGAAGACTAGTTTATCCATCATTTTAAAGTCTTCCTGGTAACAGTTTCTGCCCATCCTTTGAAAGGTACTGTCATTTTACTCCTCATCCATGATCCCTACATTTTTGTAGAATGTGATTAAAACCTTTCAATTGCCTTAATGTTACAATTC